AGTTTCTTGCTTGGTCTTAAAGTCAGTTTAGGCATATCACACTGAATATTACCATATGTCAACGTCAACAAAGGAACTAAAGAAAGAAAACGTACACATGACAACACTGACCGTACAGTATAACTCTGAAGAAGAGTCAGGCTCATTGAAGACCAAAATAACACAACGCCTGTTCTCTGTTTTGAATCTGCAGAAGAGACTAAACAACTGTCACACAGAAAAATGTAGTTTATAGAAAAATGAAACCTAAATAAATATGATACACAAGCTCCAAGATATCCTACGGCAGAATAATCCCGTACAGGTCATGTGAGGTCTGTTTACAGGAGCAAAATGCCCTACTTATGTAGGACTTTTCAACAGTGTTTAAGAAACAAATTAAACAATTTAAAGCCCATCAATAAGAACAAGACAAATGGTTAAAATCACACTGAGTCAGCACTAAGAACAAAACCTTGAAGATGTGCCACTCATGCTGCATCTAAACGCCTCAGAGAAGAAATTTGAAACCAAACTGTGAGTGTGACAATGAAGTTGAAAGGTGCAAGTGATCAAACTCATTATCTTCCAATGACCTCAGGGTTCAAAGTTCATCGGCTTCAATATGAGTCACAAAAATCTTAAGCATGACATCTGAGCAACCAAAGAAATGATCTGCTGTATCAGAGTCCACAAAAAGATTCAATACAACTCGGAAACTTAAAACTTCTCTACACATTTTTCTGTCACCTCTTTCTGACTTATGTAATTAAAGGTGTATCTAGTTTCTACATTACTCCATTCACCAAGGGCGTTTACAGTTACTGTTCATCTGAATAATTTTTGTTTCAGTTTATAGAAAAGCTTCTGAATGTCCAGACCAACATCCCTGTATTTATGCTTAAAGGGGATTAAAAGATCATCTGTATGAATATGTCAGTCAGCAGGTCTACATGTAGGTCAGTTCAGCATTTAAATCTTAAAGCAAGTCTGTGAGATGGAATAGGTTTACTCCATCAATCAATTTTTTTTAATGGAAAGGGCTGTAAAACTAAATGTGAAACAAAAACTGTCTTTTAATCCACTATGTTCTTGCATTTAGTTAAAAATCTGTTAATTATGCAACCTAAAGCTCAAGCAAAAACATTTAACCACCATTATTACTTAGCCGAAACTACGTGCAAGTCTTCTTTTGCAATCAAGGCCTTTTGATGACGCCACTGAAAAACAGATGGATGAAGATGCCCCAGTGATTTGTGGTTTTCATCTAAATTTTCCACCTGCTTAGTGTTGAAAGATAAGATGGGGGGCTGGTGATTCTCTGAATCATAAGAAACTGAACTTGTGTTTAATTTATTGTCTCCTTTACTACGAGATATAGTGATACATCATTGATAGATGATATCATGATAGATACTGTATATCATTTTTGATGTGCATTTCATACAGTAGTCATAAGAATGATCCATGAAAATAAGTAAAAAGACAAAAAGGTGAGTGTGAACAGGTTATGACATTTTTCACTTCTGTGGGGTTTTTCTTTATATATAAATCTTAACGAGGCAGTAAAATGGTACACCAATGCATTGGCTAAAATATAATTATTTTTAGATTCTTTTTCACAACTTAGGTAAATTATATTTTTTGTGGCAACATAGTTGTTTTTCATATTTTTTTTACAAACAACACTTTTCCCTTCGGATCTTTTATTATAGCCACAATTCCTAAAAGAAAAAAAAAGGACATTGTGTAAAAACCCAATCAAAACAGAATGCAACAATTTGCAAATCTCAAAATCCCCCTAAAACAAAACAAGACAATTTTGAATTTTATCACAGCAACACATCTGAAAAAAGCTGGGGCAACAAAAGCCTGCCATAAGTAGTACAATAATAAACAGCTGGTGGACTACTTTGCAAATAAATAAATAAATAAATAAATAAATAAATAAATAACGAAAGAATGAAAGAAGAAAGAGCTATGTGTTGTCATCATATGTTCCCATACAAATGATGAAATTAGTTCTCTGTATTTAACCCATCACACGTGATATACACCCAGGTGGAGCTGTGGGCAGCTACATGCTGTAGGTGCTCAGGGAGCAGTTAGGGATTAGGTGTCTTGCTCAAGGACACCACGACATGTGGTAACAGCTTGGCAGGGAGTTGAACCTGCGACTTTATGTCCTACCTTTAAACCATCTCGGCCCCTTAATTAATTAGGTTCATTGGCCGTTAATAGATCAGTAAGAGGACAGGGTACAAATTTAGAAGTAAAAGTGGGCAGAGGTTCACCAACGTTCGTGTCCTAAATTACTGGAACGGTTTTAAAATAATGTTCATTAATGGCAAACTGAGAAGGCTTTACAGCTCTTAATATCAACATATTTCAAGAATCTGGAGAAATGTTGGTGTTCAAAGGACAAAAGTGAAAGTCGATGCCTGTGACGTTCGATCCCTCATGAGACACTGCATTAAAAACAGGTCTGATTCTGCCAAGGACACCACTGAACAGTCCCAGGAGTACTTCCACAAATCATTGTCTGTAAACAGTTTGCCGTGCCTTCTAAAAATGCAGGGTAAAGATCTTTTCCACAGAAATTAACTCATACGTGCACACAATCCAGGACTGCTGCCGTCTTTTCTGAGCAGAAGTTCATTTTAAATGAATTGAGGCAACTGTAGCATCCAGGCGATGTCTTTTTCCCAGAAGGCCTGTCATATTTTAGAAATACAATGCTAAACCGCAGACTGCATCTGTTACAACACCATGGCTTTGCAGTAGAAAAGCAGGTGTTGAACTGGCCTGTCTGCCATCCAGACCTCTTCACAATCAAAAATGTTTGGTGCTATCCAGCAAAGAAGACCCAGGACTGTTGAACCCCCCCACCCCCACCACCCAAAAGAGTCCATGAAATAGTCTCCTCAGATCAGGGGTCTGCAACCTGCGGCTCTGGAGCCACATTCGGCTCTTTGGTCCCTCTGCAGCGGCTCTTTTGAACTTTGACCAAAACTAACACAAAACTGAATTTTATTGATTGTTATACAAACAACAAAAAAGGACTACCAGTAGTTTTAGAAGATTTCCTGTCATTTCGTTTGCAAATTTGTGAATACTGGAACAAGTACAAGGAGTAAAACATACCCACTTTAACTTTAGGCTTTATTTCTATACCTAATTAATTAGGTCTGCATAGTTCATAGTTTTTATTAATTAAAAAACCCTCTCTTTAAAATAATCTGTTTTTTTCATTCGTCTTAAATTGTAAAAATATAAATTATTACCGGTAGATAATTTTATCTTTAAAATGTCACCCCTTGTAGCCACAAAAGGCCCCTCCAACAAACCGAAAGTGGCCCATGGGCCACCAGTTGATCACCACAGTTGTAGCAGGTTGTTGCAGCTCTGAACACTTTTAATTTAGTGCACAAAGGAGTAAAATGGCTCTTTTGATTGTAAAGGTTGCAACCCCCTGCCTCAGATCCTAGATGAACTGCTGTTTAATAAAAAGATGATTCACAGTGGTAAACAAAGTCCCGTTTCAAGTTTTTTTTTTTTAAATGTATTGCTGACATAAGATCTAAAATTACCTCATTTTATCCCAAAATGGCCCAGCTCTTTAATTTAAACATATGTTTACTACATTCCATTGTAAAAAAAAAAAAAAAAAAAGGGCTCTGGAGATTTACAAATCATTGTAATCTGTTACATTTTACACAATGTCTCAATTTTTGTGATGGGACTGTATTTTCCAACAACCTTAAGAAAGCCAGCTCTAGAATAAACTAAGGAGAGATTTTTTTAATAATGAACTGTAAACCCACCCCGCCCCTCGCACAGTAATTGCTGGACATGGGCACCAGCGACCCCCGTGACCCAAAATGGAATAAACGGGTAAAGATAATGGATGGATGGATGGATGGAACTGTAAACCCATATTGCCTGTTTGTTGGCTTGACACACAAGCTGCCTGCTCTAACCTATCATTAAGCCGACACAACAGAGCATGTTGTGCTTTTGTGGATGGCATGAAAAGGCACGATGCAGAGCACTTAATATAAAGTGTGACAAAAGGTGCTTTATAAATGTAATAAGTGTGAAATCTATTTTAGATCTCCAGTAAAATTCATTTTTCCAAAAACCTTGAATGTCCAGGTCAGGGCAATACAGGTGTATTTTTAGTGAACATTTTTCTTAGTTCATATATTATTACTGTTTTTCTATTACATTTTATACTTTTGTTGGATGTAACTGGGACCTTGAGTACACAATTTCATTCCACCTCATGTATCACACCTGATGCGAATGACAATAAAGAACCTGGGATCCTTGAATCCTTGAATTCAACTAAACTGCTCAGGGGGCACATACTGAAAGCCAAGAGCTCAGGGACCGGACATCCAGCAGTTATTGTCATTAAGTAAGTTTGTTTTATGGTTTAAATTCTAGTTTTATTTTAAAATAAACCCATTGGTGGGCCGAACTGAGCTCACCAGTAGGCCTGATTTAGCCCCTGGGCTGCCAGTTGAATAGCCCTGCTTTAGGTCATTAAGGATACGAAGCTTGAACTTGTGTTACCAGTTCACATTTTGTAGAGCTTTAGAAATATTTAAGAAATTACAACTTGATTATATTGCCTTGAAAGTGGTTATGACCAGTAGTTGTTGCCATACGGTGGGTTTCACTTCACAAACTGACAAGTTTTGAGGAAAATTTTCATTTTCATACATACATACATACATACATACATACATACATACATACATACAT